CAGGGATCAGCCAGGGCCTGGAGCATCCTCTGGAAAATGCTGCCTTTATGCCTCGAGGTCTGGGAATGGGGCCGGGAGAATTCCTGGAGCTGAGGGATCCGACCCCATTTATCATCCCCGAGAAAAACAGGGAGCAGGACACCGTGACCAGTTCAGGGCCAGCCTGGGGGGAATTCCCTCTTTGGGAGCACTGGGAAGGAGTTTTCCATGCTGCCCCAGGGAAGTCGGGATGCTTTTGGGTTCAGGAATTTTCCATGCTGCCCCAGGGAAGTCGGGATGCTTTTGGGTTCCATTCCAGAGGGATCCATCAGCTTTTCCGTGCACGGGTTTGAAATCCACCTGTGACTTCCCAGCTCCTGGCTTAATCCTCCTTGACATCCCAGCTGCTGCTGCCGCTTCCATAATGAATATCCAGACAGGGAATTAGGGCTGGGATTCATTTCACCCACCGAGTCTAATTAACGGATGCAAAGATGCAGAGCTGGAGCGGGAGGCAGGGATAATTCCAGAATAATTCCTGAATAATTCCGAAGGACACGGAAAAGGCTCCACGCAGGCCTTGCCCCGGCCATGACAGCGACACCTCCCCCTACAGAGGCTTGGGAGAACTTTCCCGGTTTTCCAGCCCTTTAAAAGGGACCCAAATCCAAGGAATTGGAAGGCAGCGCCCTGGGATCGTGGGAGGTGTCCCTGCCCCTGGCAGGGGTGGGATGAGAGGAACGTCAAGGTCTCTCCCAACCCCAAGCATTCCATGATTCTGTGAATTCCTCTCCTGGAAAAGGCTGCCGCTTGTGCCCCCACTCCCACTCCGGGGTAGCGTCCCAGCTGGCAGGGAATTACTGCCGGCACATTCCAGGATTTGCTTTATTTAACCCCGTGTAAATCCCGGGAGCTTTTCCTCATCTTCGTGGGTTTCTTCCCGTGGCCGAAGGTTAAACGGGAGCTCTTCCATAGCTGTCATTTCTCCTGGGTTTTTATTTTCCAAGGAGCCTCCAGAGAGGGATTTTACTGGAATTTACTGGGATTTGAACCTCCTCCACTGGAAGGTTTGGTCTGTCCTGTGAAGTTGTTGGAAGAAGAGATCATGGAATCCTAGAATGCTTTGGGTTGGAAGTGGCTTTAGGGATGAGCCACTTCCAGCTCTGACAGCTCCCACTCTCCCAGATTATCCCAGTCTGGCCTTGGACATTCCAGGATCCAGGAGCAGCCACAGCTTCTCTGGGAATTCCATCCCAGCCTCTCCCCCCCTCCCAGCCAGGAATTCCTTCCCAATATCCCATCCATCCCTGCCCTCTGGCAGCGGGAAGCCATTCCCCGTGTCCTGTCCCTCCATCCCTTTTCCAGCTCTCCTGAATTCTCTGGATCAAAATCCAGCCATGCTCCCCCTCCAATCCCAAACAGTTGCAAACCCTCCATCCCTCTCCCACATTTTCACCCCTTTTCCTTGGATTTTCAGGACTTGAAGCTGCTGGGAGAAATCCCAGAACACCAAGACCCCCTCCAATCCTGCAATGAATTGATCCCAATTTTCCAGAAAATTCTTTCCCCCCTGGTCTGAGGCTCCCTCCTGACGTCTTCCCAGATTTCTCCTCCAAAGATCCTCTATTTTTAAAACCCTCCCTAAAATCCTTTTCCATCTATTTTTTCCTCCCTGCTCCCACTGCTTGGCATTTCCTCCAAGGAGCACGGGGACTTTTTAACCGCTCCAAAAACCTGGATGCAAAAAAACTCCTGGAATATTCCCTTTGGAAGGGCCGGGCTGGGATTTACAGCTCTGGGAAGAGAGAGAAGGAATAAAAACACCTGGAGAGGCAAAAATTCCTCAAGGAGACAAAATTCCCGAGTGTTCCTGGCTGCTCCCAGGAATCTGGGCATGGCCAGGAGGGAAAAGATTGGGAATTCATGTAGAGTATTCCAGGAAATGCTTTGCTTTCCAAAGAGGTTAAATGGATTTTTATTCCCCTTGGAATTGCTGCTCCAAGGAATGTCTGGGAATGGGGGATTCCAGGTGGGAAATGGGGGAATTCCTCATGGAATTATCCATTGTAATTTGAGGATTTGCGGGAGTTTTGGAAGAGGCACCACAAAATGACCCCAGCGACACAAAATATTCCTTTAAAGTCCTCCAAAATTCCAAATGATCCCTCAAAAAAGCCTCACTTCCCAGCAATTCCTCCTTGGAGCAAACCCTGTGACATTCCCACTCCAGCTGATCCATCCTAGAAATCCCAGAATTCTCCTTTTAGCCCCAAACCCAACATTCCAAGGACAGGAGGGCGATGCCAAACTGGAATTCTGGAGCATTAACTGGGATTTATCCTCTCCTTTATCCCAGGAAGGAAAAGTTCTCCCAGGAAAAGCTTGAGTGGATTTTTTTCCGTTATTATTTTTTGCCGTGTCCCAAAAAAAAAAATAAAAACTGTGTTTTCAGCACTTTCTCCTATCGGGAAAGTAATTGAGTCCAAATGAAGAGGGAATTATCTCCGGAGTTAATTATCCATCCCGGCAGCCGGGGTTTTACATCCCAGCATTTTCCACTTCCACACAAAGCACGGGAATTCTCCTCTCCTGTAATTAACGTGCTGGGAATGTGGCATAGGAAGCACCAGGGGCTGGGTTTTGGGTGGAGTTGGGGAGATTTTGGGAATCTGAGCGGAGAGAGGATGGGAAGGACTCCAAACCCCGGCACAGAGAGGTGCTGGAGTCGCCATTCCTGGAGGGAATATTGGATCAAGACCACACTTCCCGTGCTGGAACAGTCATTCCTGGAGGGAATCCTGGAATCACCATTCCTGGAGGGAATCCTGGAGCAAGTCCTCATCCTGGAGGGAATCCTGGAGCAAAACCCACTTCCAGTCCTGGAATCACCATTTCTGGAGGGAATCCTGGATCAAGACCCCGTTCCCAGTTCTGGAATCACCATTCCTAGATGGAATCCTGGAATTGCCATTCCTGGAGAGAATCCTGGAGCAAATCCCCATTCCCAGTAGTTCCCAGTAACCCCAGGATCTCCACAGATCACAGTGGATAACTCCGGAGCAGGGAATACTGGGAATACTGGGAATACCGGGAATACCGGGAATACTGGGAATACTGGGAATACTGGCTGGCGCCCAGCTGCTGGATGGAGACGCTTTCCTGACCTTCCCAAGCAGTTCCTACTCCTGGAAAAGCCCGGTGCGCACTCTCAGCTTTCTCAAGGAAACACCCAGGGATCCACACTGGATTTCCAGCCTCTTTCCCAAGGAAACCCGGCAGTGCTCAGGGCTCCAAGCCCAAACTGGGAAAGCTGGGAACACCCGGGATTGGGAATCACCCCCAGGAGCAATCCCAGATTGTGCTGTGCAGCTCCCAAATCCCTTTTTTCGGCCGCCCCACACCTGGCTCTGGCTCAGATCCATCCCTTCCAGGGATGGAAGGAATTCCAGGAGAAATAGGATTTATGTTCCCAGTGCCAAATCCCACATCCCCGCCACTGAACTTTCCATGCTGGGAAAGGGAATGTTCATCCCTCCCTCCCCTCTTCGTCAGCTCCAGCTCCAGCTCTGGGATCCTTCCATGCCATTTTCCACATCCCTGGAATGTCCAAGGCCTGGCTGGAGCAATCTGGGATAGTGGGAATTGTCCCATGGCAGAGGCTGGAATGAGATGATTTTAGGCTCCATCCCAACCCAAGCCAGTCTGGAATTCTGTGTTTCCACAATTTTACCATCCCCAGGCTCCCAAGATTCCCAAAATCCCTTTTTCCTTGGGCACAGCTGGATGGGAATTGACATTGCTGCTCCCAAAACATCAAAATAAATAAAAATCCCAAATAAATAAAAAATTCCGGACCCTCGCTCTTCCTGTGTCCCAAATCCCAACATTTCCAGCACTGCCAGGTTTTCTTGGGAGAAAAAATTTCCCAACCCCATCAAGGGAGGGGATGGAATTTGAAACCTGAAATTCTTGTACATAAAAATTCCCAAAATACCACCAAAAATTGGGAATGTGGCAGCTCCTTGGGAATGTCTCCCTGTTTGTTGTCTCCTGCAGGAAAAAAAAAAAGCCAGGAATTGTTGAATTCCAACCCAAATTTTGGTATTTCTGCAGCTGAAGGATTCCCGTTTCCCCCCCCACACCGGATATCAGGATTTTTATGGAATCTTGGATTTTGGGGCTGTTTCATTTCTTGGTTTGTTCTCCTTGGTTTATTTTGGTTTGTTTTTTGTTTTTTTTTAACATTATAGACATCGTTAAAAAAAATAAATTTTCCAAGAATACATTTGGAAGTTGTGGGAATCGTAGGAATTGAAAGAAACAAACAAACAAAAAATAATTAAAAAAAAAATCAAGAAAATGAAGAGAAAAATGGGAATTAAAATCCACAGGATGGGTAGGGTTATGTATATGGGAATATCCGTATGTTATGTGTATATAGGAAATAAAGTGGAGAGGGAAAATAGGGAATTCTGACCCTGGATGGGTCAAAATCCACTCCCAACCCAAATTCCAAATCTGAAAAAAAAATAGAAAGAAGGAGAATGGAACCTCTCCCCCGGAATGATTGAAAACATCAGCACAACCTCACACGTTTCACACCGGTTTCTTTTCTCTTCCATTCGGAAACTCTCCGAGGAAAAATCCCAACCAAAATCCCCCAAAAACCAGTGGGAAGAGCTCTGGGAGTCCCCTCCAGGTGGCTCCCGATGGCACCTTCATCCTCCGGGATGTTCCCATGCAGAATCCTCGTTGTCCCTGTGGTCACCCCGGTACAAAAAATCCTGAAATTCTCCTTTCCCAAAGCTTTTCTCCAACATTTTTTCCCTCCCCGGTACCGTTGGCAGCTCCAGACCCCAATTCCAAGCCCTTTCCAAGGAGTTTTCCCAGGAGCCTCTCCGGAAAACCGACCCAGAAAAGACCAAAACCAAACAAAACTGGGAAAAATGAAAAGTAGGAAGAAAACCACCAAAGTTTCCCAGCGTGGTGAGGGCTCCTCCTGCCTCTCCGGATCTCGGCATTCCCGGGATTTGGGAGCGTTCCAGTCTCCGGCGCAAGCGCGGCACCGGTGGGCGCCGGTCCGAGCGTCCCCGTCCCACCGGCCGCTCCTTCCCGCCCCTCTATAGTCCCAAGGCCGGGATCAGGATGGGAATGAGGAGCAGGATCTGGCTCTCCCGGCGCCGGCTGCTTCCCCCCTTGGGATCCGTGAAAGTCTTCTGGTCCGGCATCACGTCTGTGGTCAGCTGGGCCTGGGAAGGAGGGACAGGGATGGGATTTTAGGGAAAAGCATCCCAAAGTTGGAAAACACCTCCAGGCGGTGAAGCCAGGATGTCGTTCCCAAGCTGTTTGCTTTGGGATGGAATTCCCGGCCCCGGGATCCCCTGAGTACCTCGGAGTAGCACAGGCTCTGCTCCTTGGATTTGTTGGGCTTCAGGCCTTGTTCCTGGCAGGAGAAACGGGAATGGTTAGGGTGGGAATGTGCCCCTGGATTGGGGAGGTTTGGTGTCCCAAATTTCCCTGCAGGAATCAGATTGGAGAGGGTGATGGAGCTCAGGGAGATTTGGGAAAGGCTCATCCCATCTCCACAGGCAGCCCGGGGCTTCAGTAGATCCCGCTTCACTCCCACTGTGGTCCTGCCTGGAATCCTGCCGGGAATCGTGCCGGGAATCCTGGGACACCCCACCAGTCCCCATCCCACTCCTCTGCACTCCTGGAACATCCCCAGCCATTCCCCAGTCCCATTTCCCTCCCATTCCTTTTCCACCCACGGAGCAAAACATCGATGCCCAAGCCCAGCGCTTGCGGATTTTCCAGATTTCCCAAAAAACCCATGGAATTCCAGCTCCCAAGCGAGGAGCAGTTGGCCTCAGGGAGTCACCTCAGCAGGTGAGGGGGGAAGGTGGGCAGGGAATCTCTCCCTCCCCATTCCAGACCCCAACCAGTGCCCAGATCCTTCCAGCCCTGGGATGAGTCGGACATTTTCCCATCCCATGGGATGCAGCCGATGTCCCACCAGTGCTCCCAGTGCTCCCAGTCTGGGGCCGCACCTGGAGGGAGGTGCAGGTGCTGATGACGCTGGTGTCGTACGCGGTGTTGCTGTCGTTGACGTCGTCCGGCAGCACCGGGCTCTTCTCTGCCTTCGGAAGCACCGTCACTGGATTGGGATTTTTGGGAGCCATGTTCACGTCGGTGCCGTTCCCAAAAGCTTGGATGGCGTTTCCTGGGAGCGGGGTGAGATTTAGGAAGGATGGGGGCGATAAAACAGGGTGAAAGGAGCAGGGCAGGGAAGCGCCTTACGGAGACAGGGATTTTCCGTGAAATCCCGCAGGAATTTCTCGCACTCCTCCTCCATATTCCCGCTGCCTTTGCAGGAGCACCAGGGCGAGATGGTGATGCTGGTGGTGCTGGCGTCCACGTAGTTGGGGGTGATGTCAAATCCTGGTGAGGAGGAGGAGGGAGCAGGAATGAAATCCCAGCGGGAAAAGCCATTCCCGATCCCGACTCCCGGCACTCACCGATGAGCCCCGCGTAGGAGCCCAGGCACGCCTGGAAGTTGTCCCCGGGACAGCTGGTCAGGGACTGGAAGGTGGCCTGGCAGTTGGTGTGGAAATCAGCCAGCCGGGATCTGGAGAGGAGGAAAAGTGGGAAAACAACGGGATTTCAGCACCGCCTCCACAGACAGAAGGAATTTTTGAACGGAATAAAAGGGCCCCATTCCCAACATCCCCACGCAGGCTGTGAAATTCCAGGGAAATTCAGGCTCTTTGGCTGGGTTGTCCGAGTGCTCCCAAGAGGAGACAGGATCCAGGGAATGGCCGTGTTCATCCGCACCTCAGATCCCAATTAAACACAGCCGGAATCTCCTCGGGAAGGGAGGGAATTGGGGTGGGTTTGAGGGGCTGTGCCATGATGGGGATGGGAGGATGGGGAAGGAGAAAGAGCTCTGGATAAAGCAGAAATTCCAGGAAAAACCAGGATTCTGCAGCTCTGCTGTGGTGCACAAGGCAAGGAGGAAACTTCCTCCCTCTCCTTCCTGGAAATAAAACTCCCTCATCTTGAGAGCGCTGTTTCCACCTTTATTTTCCTTCCTTGAGACTCGGCCCATGGAAAACTCCCCACAGAGCTGAGAGGGTCTGGCAGCTCCCATCCCACTCCCATTCCCAGGGCAGATTCTCAGCTCCTGGATGGGGATTTTCCTCACACAAATCCCTGAAAAGCTTTCCCAGGGTTTTTTTTTTGAGGGGGATGCTCCACCCTCCCTGCAGCCAAACCTCAGCTCCAGGGTGGGAATGGCAGAAATCCAAAAACCTGCTCCTTCCCCAGCCTCTCCACGGGAGAGGAATAAAACTTTCTGACAGCACTTCCCTCTCTTCCCAAATCCGAGGCGAAAGGACGTCAATTCCCCGCAGGAAGCGCGGCGAGTTCAGCACTGAGCACCAGCAAAATCTGTCACCGCTGCTCCCTGGGGCTCCGCTCCCAGCCCGGAGCATCCTCTGAGGCAAAAGTTATTCCTTCCATAATCCATGAGGATGCAGCTGGGAAATCCTTCAGGAATATCCAAGCCAAACGCCACCCTTCCCGCTGGACTTTGGGAGCTGCTGGATGGGATTCGCTGCCAGGAACAAAGGCTCAGCCTCAGCACAGCGGATTTTGGCTTTTTAAAGGCTCCGAAGAAATGAAAAATAGGGAAAGGGAAGGAGCCAAGTCCATCTTAGCGGGAACACGGAGGAATCGGTGCCAAATTGCTGCTGGCAGCTGGAGGAGGCAGGTGGGGATGGCCTGGAAAGGTTGGGAAGAGCCGGCTCTGGATGAGGGATGGGGGAGGAGGACTTTCCTAAGAGTTACCCCAAATAAAAACCTGAAAAACCCCCAAAGGAGTGGAAAAGGGATTAAAAAAATTAATTCTGGGCATTGTCCCATCCCAAACCCTCTCCAAGGGCTGGATTCCCAATTAGGGGCTTCCAAACTGCTCCTCTTGGATTCCCAGAGGAAAAGTGCCAGGAAAAGCAGCCCCAGGATCCCGAGGTTTAACAGGCCCTGCTCCCAAATCCAGGCGCTTCCCAAAGATCCCTACAGGGCACCTGGACTTCAATATCCTGAATTTAGGAGCCTTTTTAATTCCATACTTGTATTCCCAGTGCATAAATCCCAAATTTAGGGGACTTTGTGCGTTCCTACGCATACACCTGGTGCAGATATCCCAAATTTAGGGGACTTTTTGTGCCTGTAAATATATTCCAGGTGCCTAAATCCCAAATTTAGGGGCTTTTTGGTACCTGTACATTTATCCCAGGTGCATAAATCCCAAATTTAGGGGATTTTTACTCCTGTCCTCCCACCCCCAGCACACATATCCCAAATTTAGGGCACTTCAAGCATCCCCTACAGGGACCACCTGCTTCCAACTCCTCTCCCATTCCCTGTTTTCCTGCGGGAATTCAGCACCACCAAAACCCCACTGGCTCTGACATCAAAATTTACCAAACACGGAGGTTTTGGTGGGGGTTTTTTTGGTGATTTTTTAAGCGCTTAATTGAGCGTTAATTACTCCCATCCCCCCGAGCCGCGGTGATAACTCAGCACGCATCCAATCCAACAGCATCCTGCTCCTGAATATTTCATGGAAAAGACGCCGGGATTCCTCCAGAGGTGGAAATTTTTTTTTTTTTCACGGGCAATTTACAGGGGCTGAAGGGATTTTTTTTAAAAAAAAAAGCTGGGAAAAATCCGCTCTCCCTCTCCTGCCGAGCTGAGCATGTTCAGGAAGCTGTGACAACACGGAAAAAACTCGGCGAGACACAAAAATCCCGCTGGGCATCGCCCTCCCAACATTCCCGTCCTGCTGGAGAGGGATTCTTTTGAAGCCGGGAGATGCTGAGATTAAAAAAAATTCCCCTCAAACGCTCCCAGGTAAATTCAAAGAGTCCCAGGGAGCTGGAGCAGCTGAAGGAATGAGGGAAGCTGGAATAAAACCCGGCTTTTGTGGATGACCCGCTGCCAAATCGAGCAAGGAGTTCACAGGGGAGGGAGAAAAGATCAATGGATGGATTTGTTTTATCCAGGAAAAGTTGTCTGGGGAGAGGAGTCACCTGTTCTGGGCTGAGCCACGGAGGCTTTGAGGGAAAAGGAATTCTTGTCGTCATCCTGAGGCTCTCGGCCTAAATTCCAGAGGAATTTCCTCGTGGAAAAGGGGTCAGGATTTGGAAGGAGCTGCCGGGGGGGGGGGGGGGTTTTGGAGTCGCCATCCCTGGAGTGTCCAGGGAGCCCCTGGAGGTGCCCAGGGAATGCCTGGAGGTGCCCAAGGAACCCCTGGAGGTGCCCAGGGAACCCCTGGCAGTATCCAAGAAGTCCCTGGAGGTATCCAAGGAACCCCAGGGGTGCCACTCAGAGCTGGGCTGGGGACAAGGGGGGGATCCAAGGCTGGACTCTGATCCAGAGGGCTTTCCCAACCTCTGGAATGTCCATTCCTTGCTCAGGGATACGGACACAGCAGGAAAAATCCAAACCCACAACAAACCAACTGAAAAATTCCCAAAGCAGAGGAAACCCAGCGAGAGGGAAAATAATTAAGACAAGAACCCAGCACAACCTCCGAGTTACTAATTAACAATTCCCTTCTCCGTGCACGGTTCCGGCCGCCGCGTTCGGACCCTGGGCGCCTCAAAGGCGTTTTTTGGGTGGGATTTTTTTAACCCTGGAGCCCCGCGGCTCCCCGGGAAGGGGAGGACGGAGCGAGGCGTGGTTTGATTTTAATTGCGGGCCCGTTCTGTGCCATTGAGCCGCTAACTGAGCCCAACAGGAGATGGTGTTTACACAGCAAAGCCCGGCTCGAGCCAGACTCGCTGCTGTCACATGAAGTCAATACTTGGGAAGCCTCTCGAGTTAATTATTCAGCGAGGATTGATTGATTCTCGTGCTAAGAGCCTGGCAAGCCCGCAGGGAGCTGAGCCCGAGCCCAGCCGCCTCCTCGTGCTGGGGAAGCCCCGGGTGCTGCCCCTCCGCTTCCCAAATCCAGCGGATTTGGGGGTTTTCACTGATTCCCCAATCCCAAACCGGCTTTGGAGGCTCCTCCACTCCCTGTCCTGTCCAAACCCGAGCTCTCCCAGATCCCATTAAATCCAGGAGCAATTTTTCCCTGCTCCTTCTTCCTTCCCTGCTCCTTCTTCTCCCCCAGCCACCTCCACACATGGGGGACCCTCCGGTGCTGCCTCTCCGCTTCCCAAATCCAGCAGATCTGGGGGTTTTCACTGATTCCCCGGTCCCAAACTGCATTTGGAGACTCCTCCACTCCCTGTCCTGTCCTAGCCCAAGCTCTCCCAGGTCTCAGAAAATCCAGGAGAAATTTTTCCCTGCTTCTTCTCTTCTTCTTCCCCAGCTGCATGCTCATGTGAGGGACCCCCCAGTGCTGCCCCTCCACTTTCCAAATCCAGCACATTTGGGGGTTTTCTCAGATTCCCCAATCCCAAACTGTCCAGCAGATTTGGGGGTTTCCACAGATTCCCCAATCCCAAACCGGCTTTGGAGGCTCCTCCACGTGCTGTCCCCTCCGAACACGAGCTCTCCCAGCTCCCATTAAATCCAGGGGCAATTTTTCCCTGCTCCTTCTCCTTCCCCGGCAGGCGAGCGCTGGGCTCTCGTTCCAGGGAGGAATGGGAAAGTGGAGCTGCTGTTTATCCAGGGAACATCCATCGCGGCTGTTTGCGCTAAACAAAGGCCGCGTTCTGTTCCCGTGTTTGGCGTTCCGTCAATTCCCAGCCAGCCTAAATCCCGTTCCTTCCTTCCCGAGCCAAAGCTCCAGCCCAGCCCTGGCCAAAATCCTTGACAAACAAATATCCCGGGAGGGGCAGCATCCCTGGCCCCCTCAGCTAAAGCTAAACACAGCAAAAACTGGGATAAAAATCCGGGAAATGACCCAACACCCCCACTCCAACCCCGGACAAAATTCGTGACTCCCAAATACCCCAGGGAGGAGGAGCATCCCTGACCCCCCCTGGATTTAAACACAGCAAAAACTGGGATAAAAACCCGGGAAATGATCCAACATCCCCACTTTGGATGCCAAGGAGCTCCAGCCAGTGGAGGCTGGGAATTTCTTCGGCACCGGCACCACTGGAGCGTGTAAGAGCAGATTATTTGTGTTCCCGACTTGCTGATGCAAGATGAAAAATCCAGCGAGCTGCAGCTGCTGAAATCAGCTCTTTTCTCCCCTTCCCTTCCCTTTCCCCTTCGCTGAGGTTTGTGCTTTGCCAAAGGTTTTTGTATTCCGGGAGCTAAAACCTGTCCCTTGCAATCAGCCGCAAAAACTCCGGGACTTTGTCAGGCTCCTGCGAGCTGGGAAAAGCTTCCTGAGCTGGGAAAAGCTGGGAAAAGCTGGGAAAAGCTTCCCGAGCTGCACAAATCACGGCTCGATTGCTCCAGGAGTCCTGGGGCAGCTCCCGCGGGATTTGTGGCCGGGTCAAGGCTGCTAGAATGGATTTATATAGAGCAAAAAACCTGGGATTTCAGCCCAGGATAAGCCAGATCCTGCACTCCAAAGGTCCTGTGCCCTTGGCAGGGTGTGAGTTCTTGAGGGGACACGAGGAGGGACATCCTGGAGTCTCTGGAAGGACAACAGGGAATGTTGTCCCCTCCTGCATCCAGAACATTCCACATCCAGAGCCATTCCCGGCAGGATGGAGCATCCCGTGGCTTCCTTGTGACCTTTGTGGCCGAGGGGACAGGGCTGGTGTCCAAGCCCAGCAGCCCCACACAGCTGTAAAACAGCACGGAGGGCCAGGAAAAGCTCTGGAAGGGCTGTTTTCCATGCTGGAATAATCGTTTTCCCTCTCCTCCAATGCCTCTGCTTCTTTTAGGGGTGGAAGTCTTGTCCTGCAGGAGCAGCAGCTGCTGGATCGACCTCCATGCAGGAAAAATCCCTCTGGAAAATCTTATCCCGGCACAGAGGGTTTTCCCTCATTAGGCTTTGAGCCAGGAGGGTTAATTAATTACCCTGGCAGGTTAATTACTCTGGCAGGAGAATTATCTCATCTCCTGTCACCTCCGGCTCTGGGAGCACTCGGGATCTGCTCCGGCTCCAGTGCTCTCGCCAGGCCCCTGTCGGATCGGGATGAGCATTGGGCTGGGATGTGGGATTGAGAAACTCATGGATAACGGGAAATGCCACGGCACAGCCTTTTCCTTCGGGATGAGGAGACAAGGAGGGGTTTTGGCTGGATAAACTCATGGATAACGGGAAATGCCACGGCACAGCCTTTTCCTTCGGGATGAGGAGACAAGGAGGGGTTTTGTGTCCCATCATTCCCAGCAGCCGGAGAAGAGCGGATAGGATGGGACTTTCTCCTGAAAACCCAAGGAGTGCATCCATGCCCCATCCCAAGGAAAAAAATATCCCGGAAGTTACAGCAAAACCAACACAAATAAATCCCAGATTTGGGTATTTTCCAGAGCAAGAGCCCCCATCCAGCTTCTCCCATGCTTCTCCCAAAAAAACCCCACATTTCCACCTTGGAGCAAACGCTCCCAGCAGCTGCCGCCCTTTCCCCCTTTCCCTCCTTGTGTGGGGATTTCATTCCATGCAGGAATTAAAGCTCGTGGCCTCTGCAGCCCCCCCAGCCCCGTTATCCCTCTCCAAGCGCGGATCCGTCGGCAGCATCCACCTCGGAGCGCGCTGATGGAGAGGAGCTGCCATTCCCGGGTATCTTTTATTCATGGACACCGGCTCCTTGGATTACTTTTTGATAAAAAGCCACATTCCCACATTTCAAACATCTCCACTCGCAGCCCGAGGAAAACCCGGAGCTCGCATTTATTTCCCTGCCGAGCGCCAGGAAACTCCATCACCTTGATGGGAGAAAGATCCCGCTGCCGGCAGGAGCCGGAGCCGTCGGGAAGCGGATCTGGCTGCCGAGGGGGGCGGGAGGGGTTGTGCCCTGTGACAAATGGGTTTCATAAGGAACTGGAGCCTCGGCTCCCAGCTCTGCGCTTCCAACGGGGAATGAGCAGGAATTCGGCAGCCGGGGAAGGTTTTGGGGGATGCAGCTCCATCCCTGTTTCCTGGGATTTTCCCCGTGGATCTCCCCAAGGCATTGTCCCGGTGCCGCTTCCCAAGGAAATGCAGGGTAAAACAGAGCTGGGGGTGACACCGATGCTGGGGGGGGTGACATTGATGGGGAAGGTGACATCAATGCCAGGAGGGTGACACCAACGCCACGGTGGTGACACCAACGCCACGGTGGTGACACCAATGCCAGGGAGGTGACACCGACACCAGGGTGGTGACACCAACACCAGGGTGGTGACACCAACTCCAGGGAGGTGACACCAACGCTGTGAGGATGACACCAATGCCAGGGAGATGACACCAATGCCGAGAGGGTGACACCAACACCTGACCCATGCCAGAAGAACCCCCCCGCACCCTTTACCTGCACAGGTGATCCATCCGGCAGGCACTGCGCAGGTCCAGGCAGTTGGGCTTGTCCTTGTCCTCGTAGGAGCAGGAGGGGACGATGGTCTGGCGGCGGCGCTCGGCGCACGCCGGGTCCTTGCAGGAGCAGAAGAGCAGGCGGAAGGTGAACTCGCCGGGCACGCGGTCGAAGAACTGGCGCAGAGCCTTGTGGCACTTGCGGCGGCTGCAGGGCTCGGTGGCCGACAGCTCCCGGCTGCAGGTGGAGATGTAGCCCGAGCGCAGGCGCTTGCAGTTGTCGTTGAGGTTGCAGGCCTTGGCCGCGTCCAGGCAGTGGTTGCTCTTGGAGGTGGTGGCCGGGTCCATTCCTGCCCGGGGACACCGAGGGAGACGGGTCAGGAAGGTGGGGACGGAGGGGTGGGACGTGGTGGCAAAGCTGGGGAGGTGCCCTCAAAGGTGGGAGGTGGTTTGGGATGATGGGGTTGAGGTGGGGGAAATGCTCTTGTCCCCAGGAGATGTCCTCGAGGCTGAGGAAATGTCCTCAAGGCTGGGGAGATGTCCTCGAGGCTGGGGAGATGGTGTCCTCAAATCTGGGGAGATGTCCTTGAGGCTGGGATGGGAAAACTGCCTTGAGCTGGGATTGGGAGATTCCCTCAAGGCTGGGGAGATTCCACCAAAACTAGGATGGGAAGAAGCCCTAAAACCTGGGATGGGAAACACTCTTGACACTGAGATGGAGAGAATTCCTCATACCTGGGGAGATGCCCTCAAAACTGGGATGGGGAAATGCCCTTGAACTGGGATGAGGAGAAACCTTCAAACCAAGGGAGATGTCCTCAGACCTGGGGAGATGCCCTCAAAAGATGCCCTCAAAACTGGGATGGGAAGAAGGCCTCAAATCTAGGAAAAATCCCTAAAACCTGGGGAGAAGCTCTAAAACCTGGGATGGGAAACACCCTTGAGCCTAGGATGGGGAGAATTCCTCAAAACCAGGGTGGGGAAATGCCCTGGACCTGGGGAAGATGTGACGGCACCAGTGCCACCCCTCTGGCATCGGTGTCACCTCCCTGCACCTCCAGCCCAGCCCGGGATTGATCCCATCCCATTCCAGGCACAATCTGTAGGATCAACACCCCCCAAGCCCTCTGGGCAGAATCCAGGCTGTGAATTTGCAATATTTCTTTCTTCTTGTCAATTCTTCAAAGAAGAATTAATTATTAATTATTAATTAATAATTATTCAGCTCCAAAAGCAGAATAATCAACCCAACTCTGCTGTGGCCCCCACAGCCCCTCCTGGGGCTCCCCAAAACTGGGACAGCTCCAGACAGGGATGAAAGGGATGAGAGGATCAATCCCGTATCCATCCCGGGAATTCCTTCCCTCAGGAGAGGACGGACGAGGCCGAGCCCCAGCCTGGAACAAACGCTGAATTTTCCTTTTTTTTTTGCTCAGGATGATGGATCACGCTCCGTGGCCCAGGTGCTGCTGCTGCAGCCACCTCATCCCTCATTCCCTCCCCTCCACAGCCAAATCCATGGATTCTCCTCCGCCGGCTCCCAGCTTCTGCTGGCTCCTAATTGGCCTAATTGCAGGGTGCTGCTAATTAGCAAATGGCAAATCCTGGGTGTCCCCCAGCCACCCTGAAGGGGACAGTGCTGGGGAGGGGGCTTTTGTTCCTTTGTCCCCAAGCTGAGAGCCATCAGCACAGCCCTGCTGGGGATACCGAGGGTCCAGGGATCCTGATGGATTCAGGGATCCCGAGGATTCAGGGATCCTGAAGGATCCAGGGATCCCAATTAAAAGGCAAAGCCCCTTCCTGGTGCCATCCCGACCTCCTGCTGCCCCTGGGGGACATTTAGAGTTTTTTGAGGCTCAGTGCCACCAGTGCCACCCCACGCTGTGACACCAGAGAGGTTCCCCTGTCCCTTCACCCAGGCTGTGCTGCCAGGAGATCCCAAATCCAGGGGGAAAAGCTGTTTGGAGACAGCCCTGGATGTGCCAAAGGCGCCGTTCCAGAGCTGCACACCCCTGGAGATGTTTGAGGGTTCACCCCTGCCCTGGCAGCCAAACCCCAAATCCGGGAGGGCGCAGGGATGGATGGTTTGGATTTTCTCCAGAGGATGGAAAGAGCTGGAGGGGAAAAAGGGGATTGAAGAGGTGGGGAAAGGAGGATTGAAGAGGTGGGGAAAAGGAGGATTTAGGTTGGGAAAAGGGGGATTTAAGAGATGGGAAAAGGAGGATTTAGGTGGGAAAAAGGGATTGAAGAGGTGGGAAAATGGGGATTAAAGAGGTGGGGAAAAGGAGGATCTTTAGGTGAGGAAAAGGAGATTTAAGAGATGGGAAAAGGGGATTTTAGAGATGGGAAAAAGGGATTTAAGAGGTGGGGATATCTGGCTCTCTTCACTTCCCCTGGTTTTGGGGATGCATTGAGCCCTCCCTGCAGCCCAGATCACCCCGGCCCCGAGCCCTGGGAATAGCGAGCAGATTTCCGGCACAAAGGTGGGATTTTGGGATCCGTGGGAAGCTCCAGCCCTTGTCTCATCCTCGGGAGCATCGCTGCTGCCCTGCCCGAGACCTGCAGGGACGCGGTTGCATTTTAATGAAGCCGCGGCTTTGGAAGCTCCGCGCTCCTGGGGAGCTCATTAATAAAGCACGAGCATGAAAATTTCATGAGCACAGAAGGAAACGGGGCCCGAGGAGCGGGGCCGGGGGCTGGGGCCACCAGCTGTCCCCTCTGAGGGTCCCCACGGCCGCCGGGGACAGCGGCAGAGGAGGAGGAGGAGGAAGCGCTGGATGCTCACCCAGAGCTTGGGTGTGGTGCCCGCAGGGAGAATTCCCAACGGGAGCTCGACAGGCTGTGATTTCCTCGGGATTCACATCCCGGGATTCTCTGCCCCCGCTGCCTGGGGCGGGTGATCCGCGCTTTTTACACGCTGGTTACGCAGGGGTTACACGGGGGTTACACGGGGGTTAAGCACCTCTTAAATCTCCTTTTTCCCACCTAAATCCTCCTTTTCCCCACCTCTTAAATCTCCTTTTCCCCACCTCTGAAATCCCCTTTTTCCCACCTAAATCCTCCTTTTCATCACCTCTTCGGTTCCCTTTTCCCACCTAATTCCTCCTTTTCCCACCCAAAACCTCCTTTTCCCACCCAAATCCTCATTTTCCCCACCCAAATCCTCATTTTCCCCACCTAAATCCTCATTTTCCCACCTAAATCCTCCTTTTCCCCACCTAAATTCTCCTTTTCCCACCTAAATCCTTTTTCCCCACCTAAATTCCCGTTCTTCCCGGCAGCTCCAACGTTTTCCTGACTCCAATGTAATCCCAAAAAGGAGACGGGAGAGGGGGGTGGCAGCGTCATCCCAAAAACCCGCTGGAAAATTCACCTGGAAAAGCCGGGAAAATTGATGGAGGGGCCTGAAAGGCAGCGGAGGGAGGTGCCAGCCCCGCTCCGAGCCGTCCCCAGCTGAGCTGGGGTTGTCCCCAGGTGAGCTGGGGGTGTCCCCAGGTGAGCTGGGGGTGTCCCCAGGTGAGCTGGGGGTGCTCCAGGTGAGCTGGGGTTGTCCCCAGGTGAGCTGGGGGTGCTCCAGGTGAGCTGGAGGTGTCCCCAGGTGAGCTGGAGGTGTCCCCAGGTGAGCTGAGGGTGTCCCCAGGTGAGCTGAGGGTGTCCCCAGGTGAGCTGAGGGTGTCCCCAGGTGACCTCGGTGTGCCCCAGGTGAGCTGAGGGTACCCCAGGGTGAGCTGGAGGTGTCCCCAGGTGAGCTGGAGGTGTCCCCAGGTGAGCTCGGTGTGCCCCAGGTGAGCTGAGGGTACCCCAGGGTGAGCTGGAGGTGTCCCCAGGTGAGCTGGAGGTGTCCCCAGGTGACCTCGGTGTGCCCCAGGTGAGCTGAGGGTACCCCAGGGTGAGCTGGAGGTGTCCCCAGGTGAGCTGGAGGTGTCCCCAGGTGACCTCGGTGTGCCCCAGGTGAGCTGAGGGTACCCCAGGGTGAGCTGGAGGTGTCCCCAGGTGAGCTGGAGGTGTCCCCAGGTGACCTCGGTGTGCCCCAGGTGAGCTGAGGGTGTCCCCAGGGTGAGCTGGAGGTGTCCCCAGGTGAGCTGGAGGTGTCCCCAGGTGACCTCGGTGTGCCCCAGGTGAGCTGAGGGTACCCCAGGGTGAGCTGGAGGTGTCCCCAGGTGAGCTGGAGGTGTCCCCAGGTGACCTCGGTGTGCCCCAGGTGAGCTGAGGGTACCCCAGGGTGAGCTGGAGGTGTCCCCAGGTGAGCTGGAGGTGTCCCCAGGTGACCTCGGTGTGCCCCAGGTGAGCTGGAGGTGTCCCCAGGTGACCTCGGTGTGCCCCAGGTGAGCTGAGGGTAACCCAGGGTGAGCTGGAGGTGTCCCCAGGTGAGCTAGGGTTGTCCCCAGGTGAGCTGGGGCTGTCCCCAGGTGAGCTGGAGGTGTCCCCAGGTGAGCTGAGGGTACCCCCGGGTGAGCAGGGGCTGTCCCCAGGTGAGCTGAGGGTGTCCCCAGGTGAGCTGAGGGTGTCCCCAGGTGAGCTGGGGCTGTCCCCAGGTGAGGCAGGGGTGTCCCCAGGTGTGGGGACAGCAGGACCCCCCCCCCATCCCAGCGTTGGGAAGGGTCAGGAGGAGCGAGGAGCAGCCGAGACAGCACCCTGAGGATTTGGGAAGGGGCTGAGGGGTGACCTGGGAACGCCGTCACGGGAATGGGTGGGAAAAACAAAGTTCCCGGTGGTGGCGGAGTTTGAGTTCCCTGGAAGAGGAAACCGGGATGCTCCAAAGGGCTCAGGGATGCTCCAAGGGGATCAGGGATGCTCCAAAGGATTCCAAAGGGCTCAGGAATCTTCTATGGGGCACGGGGATGTTCCAAGGGGACGCTGGGATGCTCCAAGGGTTCCAAGGGATGCAGGCATGCTCCAAAGATTCCAAAAAGGCTCAGGGATGTTCCGAGGGACATTGGGATGCTCCAAAGGGACACAGGGATGCTCCAAAGGGTTCCAAGGGACACAGGGAATGCTCCAAGGATTCCAAAGGGACACAGGGATGTTCCAAGGGACACGGGAATGCTCCAAAGGGACACAGGGATGCTCCAGGGGTCTCAGCACCCCTCTCCCAGCAGAATTCCCAGAGCTGGGCTCGAGGCTGCTGCCCCAGGCAGGGAACAGCAAATGGGGCCCCCCCAGCCCCACCCCATCCTGAGGGTCCCAAATCCTCCGGAATTCCGCGTGGAACAGGAGCAGCTGCACCCCGCTGGAGCTGGGGCTGGGGTTGTGCAACACGGATTAAGGGAATTCTGGGAATTCCAGGTTTTCCAGCAATTTTGTATAAACCCAACCTGGCAGCAGCTGGGGCCAAGAGATAAAATCCTAAATCCTGGCCTGAAACAGAAAGAATCCACCCCAAAATGCATCCAAGCCCCAAAAATGATTCTGGGGAGCCCCAGATCTGGGGAGAACGGGAGAGAAGGAGAGGCTGGAGGAGCTGGAGGAGCGAGGGATGAAGGCCGGGGAGGGAGGGGGAGGTTTTCCCTGCCTGGGAACGGCTCTGCCTCGGCAGCAGGAGATAAAACACGGCGCTTTTATTACCTGAGAAAATTGAAGCGAGTCTGAATATATCAGAGAGACGAGAGGTGACCGGCTCGTACGGGGAGGCTTCATAAAATTCCTCTCCTTCGGTGGGAGGAAAAGAAGGGGAAAAAAAAGCGAGGAAAAAGCAAATTAAAGCTGGCGGTGAATAATCTCGGGCGGCTCCAGGGACAGGCACCCCCCATCCTGCCCTGGTTCCTGGGGAGGGGAAAGCAAAATGGGTCGGGAATTAAAGGAAAAGGGGATTTGGGATTGGTTTGGGGGATTTGGGCTGCTTGGGAGGTCAGGGCTGTGTTGTGACACAGGGTTCCGGGAGCTGAGGGAACTGGGATTGGGAATTCCATGGGGATGGGCGCTGAGTTCCAGGCTGGAAGATTTGGGGTTCACACTCAAGTCTGCGTTATTTTATTGTTACAAAATTCCCTAAAACCACTTAAAACCTAAAAAAAACCCCCTAAAAACCTAAAAAAAAACCCTAAAAACCATTGTAAGTACCTAAAAACCTAAAAAAACCCCTAAAAACCTAAAAAAAACCTCTAAGAACCTAAAAAAAACCCTCTAAAAACCTAAAAATACCCCTGAAAACCTAAAAAAATCCCCTCTAAAAACAAAAAATATCCTAAAAACAAAACAAAACAAACCCTAAAAACAAAAAAAATCCCTAAAAAACTAAAAAGCCCTGACCGCAGGATGGTTTTCCACTCCATTCCTTGGGAAAATGGGAATATTTCCGTGCCCCTCACCACTGACCCCTCAGTTGGGTTTATCCCAATCCACCCCTTCCAGAAGGACCCTGATCCAGGCAGGAGAAAAATCCGCCCCTCTCCCACCTTTGATTCCAGGGTAAATCCAGCGGGTTTTGCTGGGTTTAACTCCAGGAAAGAATTGGGAAAAATCGGATTTCAGGACAAGGAGCTCTCGGGGGAGGAAAGGCTCTCCCCAAACCCCAGCAGCCACAGAAAAATCGTAAATAATGGAGATAAAAATAGAAATACACAAATAAATAATCGTTGGCTGGACTTTGAAAGCTCCAGCTTGGAGGCTGCTGGAATATTGATCCCGCTCTTCCAGGCATGCCTTCCCCAGAATCCCTGCATGGATCCCAGATGGTCCCAAATCTTCCAGAACACAAAAAATTCCACGTGGAGTGGGAAGGGCTGGATCCTGCTGGAGCCAGAACTGGGATTGTGCCTCCCCTTCCTGCCCGCCCTGGTGCTGGGGATAACGGGAATTCCGGGAATTCCAGGTTTTCCACAAAAAGGATCCCGGAGTTGTCGTTGTCCTGAGGCAGCAGCGTTTTTCCTGCAGAATTCGGGGATCACTTGGAAACCATCATGTGGGAAAGGAGAGGGGGAGCAAAGCGGAAGGGTTTGCTCCGAGCCCAGCGACATTCCCGGGAAATTTGGGAGGGAAAGATCCCGCTGGGATGTCCCCATTCCCCATGGGATCCCAGCGGTGTCACCGCTGCTCTCAGGGAGATGGAATTTGAGAATTTGGGAGTTCGTGAATTTGGGAATTCAGGAATTCGGGAATTCGGGAATTAGGAACAGCCTCAGGGTGGCTCCGGACACTCCTGATCATCACTGTAATGGGAACAGGATGCAAATCCCGCTCCGCAGCAACATTCCTGGGAAATCTGGGAGGGAAAGATCCCGCTGGGATGTCCCCATTCCCCATGGGATCCCAGTGGTGTCACCGCTGCTCTCAGGGAGATGGAATTTGGGAATTTGGGAATTTGGGAATTTGGAACAGCCTAAGGGCGGCTCTGGCTGCTCCTGATCATCACTGGGAATGGGAACAGGATCCAAATCCCACTCTGCAGCAACATTCCTGGGTAATCTGGGAGGAATCTGGGAATCTGTGGGATCCCAGCGGTGTCACTGCTGCTCTCAGGGAGATGGAATTTGGGAATTTGGGAATTTGTAACAGCCCGCAGGAGGCTCCATCCACCCCTGATCATCACCGGGAACGGGAGCAGGATCCAAATCCCTCTCCAGGCCATTCCCTCTGCCCTCTCCGCCTTTCCCACTTTATCCAAGCGCGTTCAGGCGGCCCCGCGCCCTCCCCTCCATCGCGGCCATAAATAATGGAACACCCGCTTGACTCCTGCTGCTCGCCAGGGAAATTAGCGAGCGTTGGAAGGGCACCGGGCCTGCCTGGAGCTCAATTAACCCCCAGGAATGAGGCTGGAGCTTCCCAAACAGCAGGGAGAGCTCGGATGGCAGCGGGGGAACCCCGGAATTGCCGCTAAAAGGCCCAAATTTGGGTTCCCGGCGGCTTTTCCTGGTTTGTGTAAAGGATCGCAACAGAGCTTCCACCTCTCCTTAATCCCTGCCCTTTCCTCCTCCTCCAGGTACAATTCCCATCCTTGTTCCCTCATTCACTCCCGAAAAACCCTGGGAAAAGGTTGTTAATGAGGGGGAGAAAACAATTAAGGCATAATTCCCGCTCTGGGCCGGGTTTGGGGCTCGCTGCTTCCTGCGCTGACCCAGATTGGGAGGGAATTGTGCCCAGGGGAGCTCAGGTACAGCTCCCACACATCCTCTGGAACAGTTTTCCCACTCTCTGGAACAGTTTCCCACCCTCTGGAACAGGTTTCCTACATCCTCAGGCACAAGCCCTTCATCCTCAGGTCCAGCTTTCCCATCCTCAGGCACACCTTGCCCATGGAATTCCAGAATTCCCAGCTTGCTTTGGGCTGGAAAGGGGCTTAAAAATCTCATCCCAACCCCCCTCCCACCTCTTGGGGCAGTGCAGGGGATTTTGGCACAACCTCAGGTGGATTTGGGGCTCCCCAGTGCTGAGTCTGAGGTGCCCATCTGAATTTCCTGGGGGTTTCATTGGAATTTCTTGGGGTGTTCACTGGAATTTCCTGGGATTTTCACTGGAATTTCCAGGGGTGCCCATTCCTCTTTCCTGAGGTGTTCATCTGCCCTAGCTGAGCTGCTCACCTGGGGTTTTAAATCTGAATTTCCTGGGGTTTTAATCTGAGTTTCCTGGGGTTTTAATCTGAATTTCCTGGCCTGCTCACCTGCCCTGCCCGAGCTGCCAAACCACGCCTCACCCCATTTCCCCCAGCTCACCCAAACCCCTTCCCCATCCCCACCACCCCCAGGGTGCTCCCTTGGGGACCCCTCTGTCCTGGGGTGACTTTTCCCGAGCCAGCCGGGAGCGGGGCCGCTTGATTCTGATTTTTAGAGGTGCCCCGTTGGAATTTTCCTTCCAAATTTGTCCTAAACCAGGACAGGACCCCTCTCCCCATCCCCATCACCCCAAGGCTCATCCATTGGGGTCTCCCCATCCCCAATCACCCCTGAACTCTCCACTGGGGACCCCTCTCCCCATTTTCAAGCCCCTTTCCAAGGCTCTTCAGCAGGACCCCTCTCCCCATCCCCAATCACCCCAGAACTCTCCACTGAGGATCCCTCTCCCCATCACCCCAAGGCTCTCCATCAGGCTCTCCCCATCCCCATCACCCCCAGGGAGCTCCATTGGGGTCTCCCCATCCCCACCACCCCACAACTCCTCACTGGGACCACTCTCCCCTCTCCCCATCCCCAGAACTCCTCACCAGGACCCCTCTCCCACCCCCACCTCCCCAGGCTGCCCCGCCGCGCTCTGAGGTACCTTCGGTCAGCCCCAGGTGGATGCTCCAGTAGATCTGAAGGCACTGCAGCTCCTTCTTCATGCCCCTCTTGCAGCGGCAGTGGTACAGGGCGCTCTCCTGCAGCACCTCCAGGGCCGCCTGGCACTCCTTGTTGGCCAGCATGGTGTTCCTGTCGCGCCCGGCCAGGCACTGCCGCAGGGTGCGGTAGCGGGAGCTGCAGCCTGGCTCGCCCGCGCACAGCTCGTTGGCTCGCACGCAGTCCACGGGCACTCGCCAGCCCGGCGGGGCGGGCGCTGGAGGCGAGGGGGGCCCGGCCAGCGAGCGCAGGATCTCATCTGGGCCGGGGGGAGGCGAGGGAGGGACAGAGAGAGGGAGAGAGAGGGCACAGGTGAGGGAGGAAGGTGAGCGCCGTCTTTCAGGAGCAGCCTCACCTCCTGATACCTTCCTTCAGGAACATCCTCACCTCCTGGAACATCCTCACCCTCTGGAGCATCCTGACCTCCTGGAACATACTCACCCCTTGGAACATCCTCCCCTCTCTGGAACATCCTCACCTCCTGACACCCTCCCTCAGGAACATCCTCACCTCCTGGAACATCCTCAGTCTCTGGAACATCCTCACTCCCCGGAACATCCTTACCCTCAGGAGCACCCTCATCTCCTGGCACCCTCCCACAGAACTCCCCCAGATAGGGCAGATATGGACCCCAGTGAGAAAAAAATGGGCACCCCAGGAAATTCAGATGAAAACGCCACAAAATTCAGATTAAAACCCCAGGAAATTCAGATTTAAAACCCCAGGTGAGCAGCTCAGCTAGGGCAGATGAACACCTCAGGAAAGAGGAATGGGCACCCCTGGAAATTCCAGTGAAAATCCCAGGAAATTCCAGTGAACACCCCAAGAAATTCCAATGAAACCCCCAGGAAATTCAGATGGGCACCTCAGACTCAGCACTGGGGAGCCCCAAATCCACCTGAGGTTGTGCCAAAATCCCCTGCACTGCCCCAAGAGGTGGGAGGGGGGTTGGGATGAGATTTTTAAGCCCCTTTCCAGCCCAAAGCAAGCTGGGAATTCTGGAATTCCATGGGCAAGGTGTGCCTGAGGATGGGAAAGCTGGACCTGAGGATGAAGGGGTTGTGTCTGTGCCTGGAGGTGGCTGAGATTATTCACCACAGGTTTTAATTTGCTTTTTTCCTTCCTTTTTTCTCTCTTTCCCTCTACCATAGGAGAGGAATTCTGCCAAGGATCCCGCCCCGGCATCCCGCTGGTGTCACCTGAGGTCAGCCCAGCCTGGCTAAACCCGGCCTGGGAATCTTGGAATTGTCTGGGTTGGAAGGGATTTTAAAGATGGAGCTGAAAGCCTGGGAATGCCACGGAATCTCAGGACAGTTGGGCTTGGAAAGGGTTTTAGAGGTCAAACTGGAAGAGCCTGGGAATGCCACGGAATCTTGGAATGGTTGGGCTTGGGATGGGTTTTAAATGTTGAGCTGGAAAAGCCTGGGAGTGCCAGGGAATCATGGAATTGTCTGGGTTGGAAGGGCTTTTAAAGGTCGAACTGAAAGAGGAGAAATTGAGGTTGCAGAAATTGAAGGAATTCCTCTCTGGGAAGGCGGGGAGGGGCTGGGATGGAATTCCCAGTGGAGCTGTGGCTGCCTCATTCCTGGAAATGCCCGAGGCCACCTTGGAGAAACCTGGGCTGGTGGAAGGTGTCCTTGCCCATGGAGCGAGATCCGACAACCATGGGACGCTTTGGGTGGGAAGAGACCTTAAAACCACCACGGGCAGGGACACCTTCCCTATCCCAGGCTGCTCCAAGCCTTGTCCAGCCTGGCCTGGAGCACTTCCAGGGATGCCACTGGCTCCTCCGGCAGCTGAGATTCCCAGGTGTGGGCTGGGAAGGAGCGGGGTTAACCCCACACCTCCGCTCCGGGATCTCGCGCTCCATATTCCATCCAAACAAATCAATAACCCGGCGCGTTCCCGGCGCTCTCCGGAGTCACGGGAAGCAGCGAGTCCATCCCAATTCCCTGCACACGCCGCTCTTCGGCTTGGATTTGGCTGCTCATCGTTTTCAGCCCCGTCACGGGGTTTTTAGGGCGTCTGACTCATGGCTTTTGGAGCGCTCGGCCTCGCCAGGGCCGCTGGGCAGCTGCGGCTCGGAACAGGCTCTTCCCTCCGGGATGGCACCGGGCCAGCCCCGTCCCCTCCTGCCCCCCGCATTCCCACAGCTCTCCCACCATTCCCATCATTTCCGTGTTAGTTTTTCCTCCTGGAAATAGATTTCTGCTAAATCCAGGACCAAGCCTGGCTTGTCGCCTCTCGGGGGAATTGGGGACAGGCAGCGCCTGGGCAGGAGCCGCTGTCACTCCTGGCCCCCCTCCTCCACCCTCCAGCTTCCAGGGAAAGCCCTGGAGCAGCAAAAATGGGAATGACAGGACCCGGAGGGGACCCTGGAGGGGGTGATGGGGAGGGGACCCCGCTCTGTGCCCGCCCTGGTGCCCCCCGAGGGCGGAGGACAGGGGTGACCCCTCGGTGAGGGTCCCTGGGAGCCCCGTCCCAGTCCCCTCCCGTCTGGCACCATCCCGGCCACCGCCGGCAGCCCCTTCCCAGCCCGGGTCTGGCAGGGGGACAGTGACACCTACAGGAACGCGACAGGGGCCACCCGTGTGTCCCCCCCTGCCACCCCCGGGGCTGGGCACACGTCTCTTCCCTGTGCCCCACGGGAGCGGGTGGCACTGGGGCTGGTGGCACTGGGGCAGGTGGCACTGGGGCCCCGCTGTGCCCCACAGGAGTGGGTGGCACTGGGGCTGGTGGCACTGGGGCAGGGGGCACTGGGGCTGTCCTTCCCTGTGCCCCACAGGAGCAGGTGGCACTGGGGCAGGTGGCACTGGGGCTGTCCCTCCCTGTGCCCCACAGGAGCAGGTGGCCGTGGCCAGCTCTGCCCACCTCGGCTGCCAGGGGAGCTTTGAGGAGGGACAGGGCTCAGGTGGGGACACCTCTGCTGGCTGCGGTCACTGCGCGGAGCAGATCCCAGAGATCCCAGAGATTCCAGAGATCTCAGAGATCCCAGCGATCCCAGAGATTTCAGAGATCCCGGCAATCCCGGTGTTCAGCCGATGTCCCCAAACAAACCCCGCTGGGTTCCGAGAGGTCTGGAGAGCGTCCAGGAGCCCCCACATCCACGTTAGATCCAGTCCGGAGCAGCAGATTCCCCTCGGGAAGGCCAGGCCTGGCCCACCAGGATTATATTCCACACAGGAGGCAGGCGGGATCCATGGCAGGATCCGGGATCCATGGAAGGACATTCCCGGCACACCAGAGGAGACACAGGCACTCCCAAAGGCTGATCCCGGGGGCGGGAACGCCGGAGCCTCGGCACACCATGGATGGTGCTTTGGGATGAGCCTTTGGAACTCTGCGCCTTCACAGGCCGGGAAATCCCATCCCGAGGCATCCAGCTGGGAAAACCCGATCCTGACACAGCTGTGGCCACAAGGAAACCGCTCCAGGGCCTTGGAGACATTCCAGAGTGATCCACCGGGCACAGAGAGCTGTCCCAGAGTGATCCACTGAGCATGGAGAGCTATCCCAGAGATCCACTGAGCATGGAGAGCTATCCCAGAGTGATCCACTGGCCATGGAGAGCTATCCCAGAGATCCATCGGCCATGGAGAGCTATCCCAGAGATCCATCTGGAACGGAGAGCTATCCCAGATCTCCTTCGGGAACGGAGAGTTATTCCAGAGCTCCACTGGTCTTGGAGAGCTATCCCAGAGATCCATCGGGCATGGAGAGCTATCCCAGAGATCCATGGGGCATGGAGAGTTATTCCAGAGCTCTTCCAGACATGGAGAGCTATTCCAGAGATCCACTGGCCATGCAGAGCCATTCCAGAGTGATCCACTGGGCTTGGAGAGCTATTCCAGAATTCCATGGACATGACAAGTTATTCCAGAGCTCCACGGACACAGAGCCTTTCGAGAGCTCAGCTGGGTGTGGAAATCCATCCCACAGCTCCACCAGATACAGAGATTCATCCCTCAGCTCCAGTGGGCGTGGAGAGCCATTCCAGAATTCCATGGACAGGGAGAACCATTCCAGAATTCCATGGACACGGAGAACCATTCCAGAATTCCATGGACACAGAGAACCATTCCAGAATTCCATGGACACAGAGAACCATTCCAGAATTCCATGGACATGGAGAACCATTCCAGATCTCCGGTGGACACGGAGAACCATTCCAGAGCTCCACCCGGTGTGAAAAGCCATTCCAGAGCTCCAGCAGACACGGAGAACCATTCCAGAGCTCCCCCACATTCCATCCTCTCCCAGCTCCAGCCGTGCTTGCCCCAAGCCAGCTCCCAGCTCCACACTTCTCCAGAAATCCCAATTCTCTTCCCAAAACTCCCCTCCTCTGGCCGCATTCCTGTCTCCACAGGCACAGACACATCCTTGCCCTGATGCCCGAGGACTACCTGGAATATCCTTGTGTGTCCTCAGCAGCACATCCCGGTGCCAGGACTGGGAATGCCACGGTAAATCCACCCTCTGGAAGCAGCAGGGATGGGCTGTGTGGCCCCAATCCCGGGCTTTTGCCGTTTTTTCCACCTTTCTCCCACAGTTTTGCAGGGAACAGGGTCTGGGAGCATCCCAGAGCATCCGGCACTATCAGGGGCAGATCCTGGAGCCGGGCACATCCCGCTGGAGCAGGAAGGGCAGGCACAGCCCTTTGTCGTGGGGCCCCCAAATCCCGCAGGAATCAGCCCGGGCTGGGGGATTTTCCCGGAGCCCCCTGCTCCTCCTGCTCTGCATTCCCGGCGAGGCTCCAGAGGGGAGTTTGGATGGAGGGGGAAACTGAGGAGGGGCATTTTCTATCCCCAAAAATCCCCTCCCGGCAGAGCCGCCCTCCCCGAGCTCCCCACGCTGAAACATCTGCAGAGAATTCCCGACTAATCCTCGGCAGGCTCGGGGTGCCGGAGCACGATGAGGATTTGCAGGAGGCTGCACAAGGCCATGGCCCCTTTTCCTGCCTCTCCCACAGCTTCTCCCGGCTCCAGCCGCCTCTTCCCGAGCTCTAATCCATGTTCTCCTGCTCTGCTTCTGCCGGAGACCTTTGGAAACCCAAAGGCAGCTTCAGAGGGAATTATTTCTCCTGGCGAGGATTGCTCCGGAACACGCAGCTCCCCAGCCAGGAGAAAAGGGATTTTCTGGCTTCCCGGGAATGATCCCAGATGGGAAGAGCTGGATGTTCCCTGCTCCAGGATCCTCACCTCGAGGCCACACCATGGAAAGTGCCGTGGTCACCTCATCCCTAAACCTGGGGGTGCAGGGTCCCTGCTCGGGGTCCAGCTCCTCATGGTCTCCCTGCGACCACAGAGCCAGGGGGACACCCGGGAATGGTGTGGGGGACACCCGGGAATGAGGGTGTGGAGGGACACCGTGTCCTGCTCCGATGCCAGCCGCACTGTGAAGGTGGGTGGGCCCCGGTTTGGATGCCTGAGGTGGGGTGACCCTGTCCCTGCACCCCAAATCTCTCCATGAGCCATCCAGCTGTGCCTGGACACGCGTCCAGATGCCCAGCTGTGCCCCCAGCCAGGCTGAAGCACCTTTTCCCCCACTCTGTCCCCACTCGTGTCCCCACCCCGCCCCACGAGCACCCCTTTCCCACTGTCTGAGGGCACCGCCCGAGCCCCCCGACCCCGGCACCCCCCGGGCAGGGGCTCCCCCCACCCAGAGCTCGACCCCCGCCTGCTCAGCTCTCTGTCCTCCCCTCCCCAAAGCTTTGGGGCGCACGCAACCCCCGGGCACCCCCTCGAGGGTACCCCCACCCCTCCGGGTGCCCCCTCCCCGTTTCGGGTGGAGCCGGGAGCAGGGCAGAGCCCGTGCCCCCCCATTCCAGCCGGGAGCAGAGCACCCCCAGCCCCGCGTCCCTCTGGAACGAGGCCGTGCCAAGCTCCGAGCCTTCCCCGGCGGCCTCGTGTCCCTGTCCCCGTCCCTGGTGCCCGTCCCTGGTGCCTCGTGTCCCTGTCCCTGGTCCCTGTCCCTGTCCCTGGTGCCCGAGCCAGGCCGGCTCCGCAAAGTTCTCCGGGCGCTGCAGCGAGCTGGGATCGCTTCCCAGGCAGCCGCGGGATGCGGGAGCCGGGAATGGCACCGGGAGCGCGACACGCCCGATCCGCGGAGGGCAGAGCCCGAGCATTGCCCATTTCCTCTCCTTTTCACCCCAAAGGCAGCGCGGGCTGCGGGCGCTCCCCTTTCCATCGTCTCCTTCCAGAGGAGACTGCCCCGGGAATTGGGAGCGTTCTCCCGGCACAAAGCTCCTCCTAGCCGAGCCGCCCGCGGCTCCGGCGCGATCCGGGCGCGATTCCCCAGTGCAGGCACCCGAGCCACGAGCTCAACTTTCCCAGCCGAGTCTCCACGCCGCGTTCCCAACCTCTGGAATGGCGCGGAGGGGTGGGGGGGAGCAGCCAGGATGGAGGGCAGCGGGAGACACGGGGGAGAAGCGGGGAGATCTCCCCCGAAACGCCGATCCGTGCCGGTTTACCGAGGGGAGAAGGGAAGGGAGACGGGCAGGGCTCGGCTCCTGGGCGATCCGGCCCCGAGGGGGGCGGCTGGGCTTGTGTCCCCCGTGTCCCCCGTGTCCCCCGTGTCCCCCTCCCCATTTCAAGTTGCCGGGGAATAGGAAATGAAGTTAAAACCCTCTCCGTGCCCCTCTGGTGCCGCAGCGCCCGTGCCAGCTCGGAGGGGCTCGGTCGCTGGCTCAGCCCCTCGCCCCGGGGGGGACGCGCCACCTCGGCCAGGCGACAGCCGCCACCCCCCTCCGGCACCCCCGCCGGGGCCACTCACCTACGAAGAGGACGATGCAGAAAGCGTTTGCCAAGATCATGGTAGGAAATCCACGCGCTCCTCCACGTGTGCAAAAAAAATTAAAAATGTTAAAAATCGGGCAAAAAAAAAAAAAAATAAAAATCAGAAAAAAAAATTTAAAAAGGTAGAGGGGAACAATAAAAAAAAAATTAAAAATTAATAAATCCTAAGGCGGTCAGGTAGATCCCAAATCCGGTGGCCTGGAAGCGAAGGGAAGGGGGGTGTGCTCCGCCCGGCGCGGAGCCGGGTCCTCAGCCGCTCGCCGCCTCCCGCATCCCTGCCGGGCTCCGCTGCGCGCTCCGGGATCGGCGGCTCCGCCGGGCTCCCGCCGGCTTCTGCCGAGCTCCGGCTGCCGGGGAGGGGGCGCGGCGAGGGGCGGCTGCGCTCCGCCGAGCCCCGGCGAAGGGGCAGAGCCGGCGGGGCCGCCGTCCCCTCCCCGCCCCTGCCCCCGCCCGCCCCTCCGCCGGGGCCGCCCTTCCGCCCGGGGCGGGGGTCGGGGAGGCTCCGCGCGGACCCCCCAGTTCGCCGTCCGCCTTATCCTCCGTCTCCATCTCCCATCCGTCCCTCTCCTCGCTGGGATGCACCTGCCGGCCCCTCCGGGGACCCCCGGCGCTGCCGCAGAGGCGAAGGCGAGACCCCCGCCCGCCCCAAATTCCATCCCCGGGGTTACATCCGAGGGAGGGGGAGAGGAGGGTGGGGTGGGAGGGGGGCACCGGGGGGGCTGCGGGGACACAGTGCCACAGCCCTGGGTGGGTGACGGCCACGGGAACGGGGGACCGCTGGGGTCGCAGGGGGACCCCACCCGTGCCAGGGGGACCCCACCCGAAAGGGGGCACCCAGCGAGTGCTGCGCCCTCCCCACTGCGGGGTTTTATTTTGGGAGGGTCACACCCACATGTGACACGCCCCCAGCCCAGGGAACCCAAAATTCCCATCGGAAATTCCGTTCATCCTTCCCAGTCCCAACCCCTCTACGCCACACCGGGAATGGGGTCACCACCCCACTGCAGGAACACGGTGCAGCCTCCCCGGCTTCCTCCTCCTCATCCTCCAGCCCCCATGGGGTGCCCGAACATCTCACCCCTCTCTCTGTCCGTGATTTGGGATCAGGACGCCACAAGCCCCGGGGATGGTGGATCCTATCCCGGGAAGCAGGAATGGGGAGGATTCTCCACTTGGATCACCCCACAAAGGGGCTGGGGAGCAGGAGGGCGTTTGGGGAGCTCTCCCCATTCCCGGGGTGGAGCCGGCAGTGACCGGGCTCCTTGTTCTGGGTGTTACACCCGTCCCCCTGCAGGCAGAATTCCCAGCAGTGCCATTCCCGGGACGCGGATCCCGCTCTTCTCCCTCCCCTTCGTGCTCTGATGCGACCCCAGGAACAGCGGGAGCTGCTTCGGGCCATGCCCAGGGCCCTCTGCCCTTTCCTCAGGAGAGCAAATTCCTGCTCGTTCCCTGCCGGGATCCCTGGATCAATCCCACCTGGATCCCCGGATCAATCCCACCTGGATCCCTGGATCAATCCCACCTGGATCCCTGGATAAATCCCATCTGGATCCCTGGATAACGCCTGCCTGGATCCCTGGATCAATCCCACCTGGATCCCTGGATCAATCCCACCTGGATCCCTGGGTAACACCCACCTGGGCCCTGGATCAATCCTGCCTGGATCTCCGAATCAATCTGCCAGGATCCCTGGATCAATCCTGCCAGGATCCCTGGATCAATCCCACCTGGATCCCTGGGTAACACCCACCTGGATCCCTGGATCAATCCCGCCAGGATCCCTGGATCAATCCCACCTGGATCCCTGGATCAATCCCACCTGGATCCCTGGATAACGCCTGCCTGGATCCCCGGATCAATCCTGCCAGGATCCCTGGATCAATCCTGCCAGGATCCCTGGATAAATCCCACCTGGATCCCTGGGTAACACCCACCTGGGCCCTGGATCAATCCTGCCAGGATCCCTGGATCAATCCCACCTGGATCCCTGGATAAATCCCATCTGGATCCCTGGATAACGCCTGCCTGGATCCCCGGATCAATCCTGCCAGGATCCCTCGCTCACTA